CCATAACAAACTTCCTATAGTGTTCTTTGTCACACCGAGATAAAGAAGTCTCTTAGTGCTCCACTGTAGGTCGTATGAGGTGTGGATGTGAGGTGTGACAAGGGTAGTGTGTCCTCTCTCTCTCCCTGTACCTTTCTGCAGGTATCCCCGGCTCTGGAGCTCTGCGCGTCTGATGAACAGTCACCAGCTACATCAACCTGCCCAGTGTTTGTTGTGTCCTGATGCTTTTCTGTTCTCTCTCCTCTATCCATTCACCCCAACCGGTTGAGCCAGACAGCCATCCACCAAGAGTTGGGATCTGTTTTTCCTCTCCAACCTCACTAAGTGCTTGCTCAAGGGGAATTTGTTTGGTTTTCTCTGTAATACTGTAGGGTCTTACTATGTTGTTGTGAATTGGCACTATACAAATAAAACTGAATGGAGCTGAAAATTGGACAGGGCAGTATTGTGTTATTCAAATATAGGCCCTAGATAATTATTTATGAACTGACTGGATTCTTCATGCTTATGTAATTGTTGGAGTCAAATCAGGCATGTACAATTTTTCTCAATAGCTTTGGCTCCTTTTTACACTGTGGTATTTGTACTGTTACTGAAGTAAAGAATTTGAGCACTTCTTCCACCACTAGTCTCCATAAGGAACAAATACAAATGTATGTGTATGTCATAATATCCTGTCCTCTGCTTCAGTAGAGTCTGAAGGATGACACCTGAAAGTCATTCATTAACAGTTCCTGCAACATTTGCTGAGAAGTGGGGCCCCACACTCTGTATCAGAGATATCCTGCTCACATTCACTCACTTACACACATTCACACTAGAGGCAGTGCGTGATCTGCTGGCCACCAGACCAGTTTGGGGTTCAAGGTCTTGTCAAAAGGTAGCCAGTGGTTGGTAATGTGGTGACATTTCCTAGATTTATTTCATTTTGTGCTTCTCTGACCTTTAGGCTAAATGTCCTGGCTTTTGACCCCTTAAAACAATACAATGTTTGCTTGCAGCTAGCCATCAGTGGTTGCATAACCTGTATTTTACTTGTGAATAGTTTGACCAAAAGTATCCCTCCGCCCTTGTTTTATTTAATTTCTTTCCAAGGACCCAAAGATAAAAGATCCAGTAACTCATGAGATTTCTATTACGACTGAAAATTAACTAAAATGTTTTACCTTTCTGTGATCATTCAGATTTATCATACAAGAGAACTGCAGCTTGACTGAGCCTTGAAAATATTAGAAATATCTATCCATTAGTGTTTCTCCACTGGAACTTAACCAGCTGCTGTGGCATCTATCTATCTATCTATCTATCTATCTATCTATCTATCTATCTATCTATCTATCTATCTATCTATCTATCTATCTCATAGCAGCACTGTCAATACAATTCAAACGGTGCAGCGGCCCCTTTAAGAACCTCCTGGGTGTGGAAAGGAGGGCGTTCATATCCTGTTGGTCACGTCTAATTCAGCTTTAGTTGTGCCCTTTTCAATGATTTGTGACTTAAGAATATGAATAATATTTCAGCCAGGAAAAGAACGCTTTTACCAATTTACCATTCAGTCCTTTAATAGCGTACTGTTTTACTTTGCAAATAAACAAGTGACTTCAAACCGAAGTAAATGACAGAAGGAGATTTGGTGAGAGTGTGAAACGTTTCGGAATGGGACGCGTCCAAAGGGATTTTAGTCGCTTTCTAACCGCGACACCACAACAAGGAAAAAGTGGCAAGAAGACAGAGTTTAATTAGACGATAAACGGTCAGTCAGACGGAGAAAAGAGGGAACAAAGTTCGAACTGTCTCCTCATTGTTGAGTTTTCTTCGTATCTGGCCAGCGACTACCCCAGGCTCCCACGGACACCATGGTTGCTCTGAACGGATGATAGTACGGAGCTGAACTGAGCAGCAATGACCAGCGTGCGATAGACGAGCGTAGGCTGCGTGGCTCACTAAAACAAAACCAATTTCAGTGTTTCTATTGTCTAAAATCCAGTTGTACCGAAGATGGGACATCCTCCTCTGGAGTTTACTGACTGCTATCTGGACAGTCCGGACTTCAGAGAGACTCTCAAGTGTTATGAACTGGAGCTGGAGAAGACCAGCAAATTTCTGAAAGAGCTGATAAAAGATGGCAACAGTGTGATCACTGCAATCAAGGGTAAGAGCTCGTTGTGACATCAGTACTAGTTTGGTTTGTACATTGTGTGTAAATTCAGTGTCATGAACATCAGTGGGGCCTTTTTTAGGGGCCTACAGGATCAATGTGGGTGGGAGAGGCACGTTCAGGGAGGTGCTAGTGCACCCCCCCTGGGAGAAGCACAAACAGGCTGCTTCCAAAGGCCATGGATCTGATGCAGATGTGCAGGATGGCCAGCTGAGTTTGTGTTCAGACGGCACAACAACTGCCTCCTTTTACAGGAACTGTGTCTGTTCATGTGTGGTGTTTCCACCTCTCCTCTTTGTGACAGTGGTTGTCCCACTCATGGCAGGGCCCAGAGCCAGTGGCAGCATACAGTACAGTAGATGTGTATATCTGGGTCAGTGTGGCACCATGAGGGGAACACTGTTCGTTTTGTTTAACTCGCCAAGATATAATCCTTTTCACCTCGAAAACAGAAACTGTCATTGTAGGTACTGTAGTTGTGCCGGGTCCTATATTCAATTCAGATAATAGCTAGAGGTCACGAGTGCTTGTTGCTGGGGTAAACAGCACCACAGGATATTTAATAAAAAATGTTCTCAGTCCATCTGGACCTGTTGCTCATGTACTTATGAGTTTACAATAAAAAGCACAGTCAAACTAAGGATCCAAAACAAAATGAACAAGCATAAAACACAACTGGTTGATGGAAAACATGTGTAAGGATTGAAAGATTTAAAATTGTTCCATTAGGGGGTAAAGGGATTTAAAATATGATGCTATGTGAATTAGCCAAGTTCTTCAGGCAAAATACTCTCCAGTATTGATCTGCCAGACTGCTTGGTTTTGATAATACAAGCCAGGCGTAGCAGGGGTAATATATTACATCAGCCACACACTGGCTGCCGCTGAGCCGCTGAATCCTGCCAAGGATATCTTTCATATTTTAGACTTTCCTACTTGGAAAAAAGATAAATACACAGTTTTAATGATCTTGCACTGGACTGAACTTCACAAGAGTTTTAATCATTGGTAATAATTTCATTTAACTGTAGTTGTGACAGAGGCATTTGGAGCTCCAGTCACATGTTTGTAAAGGACTAAATCTTGTTTTTGTTTTGTTTTGTTTTTACAGGCTATTCTTTGGCGGTGCAGAAGTTTTCCCAGACTCTCAGTGGGTTCCAGTTCGACTTCATCGGAGACTCTCTGACGGATGATGAGATTAACATTGGTAAGATAATACAGACACTGTAAACACACACTTTACATGTACTGAGCAAAGTCATAATGATGAGCTGACTTTTAGAGTTAGACTTTTAGAAGTTGTTATTATAAAGTTGAAGTCTTTTGTGTGACACTTAGCTGTTACAAACAGATGTCTCCTGCTTGGGCTCAGTGTAGAGGAACATTTTTGGCAGCTGATTGATAATTTGTCACAACTTGAACGTGAGGAATCAGGAAACAGTGGTCTGGAAAATCAGAAACTTCTGCCCTAGAGCTTAGAGTTTTTCTCGGTCACTTTGGTACTTTTCTTGAATCATCCTTGATATTTTTGAAACAGTAAGAGCATTTCTCCACACAGTTTGTACAAACCGCGTCACACAATGGAAAAAACCTGCCAAACAGCATCACTTGCCCAGAATGCTTAGTTTAAATAAATACTTAAGTAAATACTTATGTCAGTGGACATGTCAGTGCATCAGAATGACGAGTCCTTGTGCCATCATTATGGTGGAATGTTTAGTCATGTCGTCAGTACAACAGTGTACTCTGGAAGTTTTTTATATGTAAACTGTGGCTCAGGTTTTGATGACAGTGATTCAAAATACACAAGGCTGCAGTTCTATATGTGTCAGTTTCAACGTTTCAAAGTATCACAGATTCACATTTACAGTTTTTACTGTCATTAAGATACAGAAGAGTAACTGTATTACAGCAACACATAGCATAAAGGAAAAGACATAACATTAGAAATGTAACCACAGGAAACACCTCCTAGACAGGACGTTGGGAATGTTGGGAGAACAACAACAACCAGTCTCGGCCATTGTGTGGCCATGATTGACAATATGGTCTACAAGTGTGGCCCTTACTTCATCTGGAACATGTTAATGTCCATGGTCTCTTCTCCCTCTCCCTGTGCCCCCCTCCCTCCCTCCCACCACCACACAGCCCTACTTCTTCTTCACGTTGTGTAACTTTTTTAATCTTTCCAAATGTGTTTCCTGTGTCAGCTAGTTAAGAATAAGAATGTGTCAAGTCTTTATTCTGGTCATCATTATCAACTTTGTTGTCTCCATCCCCAGCTGAGTCGTTCAAGGAGTTTGCTGGACTCCTGCAGGAAGTGGAACATGACAGGATGATGCTGGTGGGTTATCAGCTTCCTCCACGCTGACTCCTGCATCCTATTTGAACCCTCATGACATACTGTATTAGAAACCATATTACCTTATCCTCCAGAGAGGGTTAGTCTGCAATGTACAAGATGTGTCTGTTCTCAAGTTAATAAGTTTTTGGCTCATTCTGATAAGGATGGCAGCCAAAAATGAAAACACGTTTTAACTTTCAGTTTGTGTTATAATGCAAAATCAACAAAAAAAATTTTTTCCACACACTTCGAAGTTGTTTGTGCAAATGTTGAACTGCTGGAAGGAATGTTGTAAATTATGTTTCTGTCAGTTCCCCTCTTGGTTCACTTGTTCCCTTTTTGTTTCATATTGCCTACTTGTTGGTGTATTTATCATGTTTGCTGCTCTTATTTCACACCTTTTTTTTTTATACGGTACATTACACAAAATATTCATTTTCTTTGGTGCAGTTTGCTCCATTTTCAGAATTTATATGGTTACTCCTTACATCTGTCCTCTCTTTCTAATCCAGATAAACTCAGACACAATCTAACCTTGTTCATCCTCTGGCCTTACACTGACACAGCAATCGTGGCATGCCAGCAGGAGAAGCACGTCCTGTTAGACTGGGTTTTCTGGATACAGACCTAAAGTTAAAACTGGAAGCGTCTTGCATCATGCGCTTGAAATGTTCTGCTGGGACCAGTTATGACAAATGCATTTTCGTGTTCACACTTTGCAGCATGTTTGATCCCCACAAATAATCATATTAATCTGCAAACATACTGTGTTAAAGACCATTGAACATATAGCAAGACAGTATGTGCTTGTGCAGTGTTTGCTTTGTGCAGCATTTAACGGTTACTCCACATTTACCTGTCCAGGTTCAGAACGCCTCCGATCTGCTCATCAGGCCACTGGAGAAGTTTAGGAAGGAGCAAATAGGAGCAGTAAAAGTAAGTGTTTTTACTCAGCACTGTTTAAAATCAGACTATTATTACATGTACCACACAGGATAGTATAAAACCTGCTTCCCCAATTCTAATAATCAATACATGTGTGTGAAACTTGAATCCATATAACACCAGTTATAGGCATATATTCTCTTTCTACTTTGACAAGGCATCTAATGTAAAGTAGTTTTATAGAAAGTTGCACGGTTTTGCAGTTCAGAGCAGTTTGTTTTTTCTAAGTTGATCCCATGTGCACCAACATTATTTTATTTAGCTGTAAAGCTTTAAAAAAAAGTTCCAATTTAAAGCACATGTAAATGACTTTTGATTGTTCCAGTAACAAAACAATGGGCAACTTACTCAGAATTTTAAGTGAAGTATTATGTTGCCCACTTTAAAAACAACAACTATTCATTTCAACAGAATAATGCACTGGTTAAGAAAATCAGGGTTTACAAAAGAAGAAAGTATTGTGTCCTGTAAGATTAAATACCCATTTATCAGCACCACCTGTCCAGATGTTCAAATGTGTTCATTTGAAAGAAGATGTTATTGAACTATTTTCACTGTTGGTTTGGGCAACAGCTGGACATTTTAGCCATTCGGTTCCCATAAGCTTTTTATCTTTTATCCAGTACTTTTTGGTAACTATTTCAGCTGTTGAACCATTAACTTTAGACTTGTCTGCTCAGCTGTGAACTAGTTCTCATGTACTTTCTAATTGCAAGTGTTCAGGTGTTACATCTGACTCAATAAGTGGATGCATATTTTTCTAAAATCAAATAATATTTCCTTTTTTTTCCCCCCACATTCATTATTTGCTAGTTTGATAAATCCCACATATGGAAAAAGTGCCAGCACATTGACAAAGCATCAAAAAGGATAAAGTTCTTAGCTGCCAACAAAGTACATTCATTACATGTGTTAACAAATACAGTGGAAAAATGTGAATTAAAATGTGTTCACATGGAAAATCTTGCAGTCCTGGCTTCTCTTGTCCTGTGTGGTCTTTACTGGTAGCCTGATTGTCTGTTCATCTCTGTGGAGTTATTGGTTTTTGACTGGAACACTCAGTTTTATTCACGTTTTGTCACTGTATCACTCTGAGCTCTGAAAAGTTTTTAGCTGCAGAATTTCCCTGTCAGTATATGTTTTCTGTAGGCTACTGTATATGATATAATCACCCAGAACTCTCATCTCCCCAAATTACACATCTGTCCTGCAGGAAACAAAAAAGAAGTTTGAGAAAGAGAGTGAAAAATATTACTCCCAGCTAGACAAACACCTGAATCTCTCTGCCAAGAAGAAAGAGAGTCAACTTCAGGAGGTCAGTTGAAGTAAAGCAAATAGTTTGCACAATTTGTGTAGTGAAATGTACAACTGAGAGCATCTAAATACTGCTGTTTAATTCTTTTTCCCCGCTATAGGCAGATGAACTCTTAGACAAAGAGCGAATGAACTTCTATGAATCTTCAGTGGAGTATGTGTACCAGATTCATCAAGTGCAGGACAGGAAGAAGTTTGATGCGGTGGAGCCGGTGAGGGCAGGCTGTGATTTCCCACTCTTCCTCTTTGCTGTCACATAAAAGGATGTCGAGGAAATATACAGTACACTTTGGGGAAAAAAGCTTGATTAACAAATGAAAATTCCTGTAGTCATTCACCCAGTTTTTATGGATATGGCATAATTCATAATTCTTATTTAGCAATTCTTAATTCATGCTTTGGCTGGACAGGTCCTGGCCTTCCTTCACAGCATTTTAACACTCAACAACCTGACTGTGGAGATGACTCAGGACTTCATGCCTTATAAGCAGCAACTACAGCTCAGCTTGCAGAACGTAAGTGGTGATACTGGGAACAGATGATGCCATTAGTGAGATTTAATGTAATTTAATAGGATGTGCTTTCCGGTTTGGTCTGCAGATAAGAAATAGCTACGAGAGCACTCGCGAGGAGATGGAAGAGCTGATGAAACGAATGAAGCACCCATCCCAGATCTGTAAAATACACAGTTCTCCTCCAATGGAGGGTTATCTTTACTGTCAGGAGAAGTGTAAGTGTAGTAGATGTTTACACAGAAGAATGGTGTGTGTGTGTGTGTGTGTGTGTACAGGCTGTTGCTTTAATTCTCTTTGAAAAAGCCTGGCCTGTTCTTATACCTCCATGCCTGCGATAGCTGTGGCACAGAGGTGTTGTGTTCTTGGGTTGTCCATCTGTCCATATGGTTCTTGTCAACACAAAATGTGCACCTTGAGGGAATTTCTTCAGATTTGCCACAAGTGTCCACTTGGACTCAAGGATGACCTGATTACATTTTGGTCGATGGAAGCATACAACCGCAAAGTGCTAATGTCATTTTTGTTTTTGTGTTGTTGTTTTTTTCCCCTTCCATCAGGGGCTTTGGGCATGACGTGGGTCAAATATTACTGCAAGTATCACAAGAAAGGGAGACAGCTCTTCATGGTACCTTGCGAACAGAGGCCCACAACTAAACAGGTGATAAACATGTCACTGTTGCTGCTTATCCATTATATAGCCACAGCTGTCCAGACAGGTGACAAATTAAAGGACAAACCTGAATAAACGAGTGGAGAATTGACAAATGCAGATGGGTCCATTTGAGAGGGAAGGGTCAATACAAAGTTGGTTTGAGTGATCACCTCTATCATATGATGAAACATTTCTATTCTGATGGCAGTGGATTCTTCCAGGGTGACAGTGCCCCTGTCCATCGGGCACATGGAGTCACTGAATGGTATTTATCAGCATGAAAATGGTTTGAAATATATGTTGTGGCCTCCACAGTCACCAGATTTCAACCCAGCTGAACACCTATGGGAGATTTTGGACCAGTGTGTTGCAGTGTCTCCACCACCACCATGAAAACACCAAATGAGGGAACATCTTTAGGAGGAATGGTGTTCATCCCTCCAGTAGAGTTCAGAGACTTGTAGAGTGAATTCCAAGGTGCACTGAAGCTGTTCTGATGGCATATCATGGCCCAGCATCTTGCTAAAACTCTTTATGTTGGTTTTTCTTTAATTTGTCACTTGTCTGTATATGTACTTTTATCCACAGTATCTTTATCCAGTTTATGTCCGCGGATGCTTTCTTTACTGTTGTCATCTTCATCACACATCTTGACCATTTTCCAACTTTGTTTGCCTGCAGGGCCCTACACAGTTGACACTGAAATCCTGCATCCGCCGGAAGACAGAGTCCATAGACAAACGCTTTTGCTTTGACGTGGAAACAAATGAGAGGTTAGCACAAACACAACTGAGAGATGAAGCTACACGAAAGCCCTGTGGGATAAACATGTTCCAGCAGCGAGGTGAACAGGTGGCTTCCAAGGACAGAGTGTGAGGGCTACATGGACTGTAGCCCAAACAATGGGCGAGTGCTAGAAACAGATGGCAAACTCTTCTTCCTTCAGAGGAAGGAACACAGCAAGCTCATATTTTTATAAGCAGGCCATTCAGTACTAAATGCATTCTAATAGATACTTGAGCCATACAGTAAGTTGCTCTGTGCAAGTCAGTTCTAGAAACCTGTAGAGATACTTTGAGTGTCTATGGGGTGTTTTAAATTTTTCAAAGCTGCTTGATTTATGCATTCAGCAGTTGATAAACTCAAGGTGGCAGTGCTGTATAGTGTAAAAGATCACGTTGTCATTTAAAGGTGTTTTAAGGTAATGTATGTCCCGGAAATGCTCCTACTGCTAGACCATGAACTTTGACCTTAGAAGCAGTGAACAACCTGTGCTCTTATTATCCCTGATGTTTCTTTGCTAAAACCGCCATCATCCAGGTTTGCACAATGGTGAATCCCTGTTTGAGTGTTTCATCACGCTGGAGCATCGACACAAATCATACACACTATCACTAATCGCTAACATGGACAGATCCTTTATCAATGCCTTCTGTAGATATCAGGGTCATCTATTTTACTGTCAATGTTGATAGAAAAGTTATTTATAAATGTTGTTGGCAGAAAGAGCTTTAAACCCATAGCACGGTTGTTTTAGTTAATAATTGATTCAATAGCCGAAAAGCTGTGAAATCATTTTGTTGCTTCTCCAACAGACAGATTGCAACAATGGATTTTCATCATCACCTCACACTTGTCTAATTTATCTTTACTGTATGTGCTACTTCCATCATGACCACACAGGAGTTAAACAGCCACTTCAAAGAGGCTTTAAGTCCTGCTTCTTGCAGTGTTCAAGATATTTTGTGTACCTTGATTTGGTCGACACATTTTTGTGATCCTTGGCATGTAAGAGCTTTACAAAGCTGAATGTTCACAATGGTTGTAAACTTTAGCAGTACATCTTGTGACTGATTAATTTCATTGGAACCTTTTGTCTTTTTCTTGCTGTTTCCATAGAAACGGACCCGTCACTTTCCAGGCTCTTTCAGATGAAGACAGAAAGTTGTGGATCGAGGCCATGGATGGAAAAGAGCCTGTGAGTTGATTTGATTTCCAGATTTCATCTCACTTAGGATAATTAAATTGTATTTTTATTTGTTTTAGGGGAACAGTGTTATACCTGTGCTATTTTTCTTTAACCAGTTATGTAATACAAGTGACAGCTCTTATTTGACATCTGTTAAGCACTGCAGGATGCATGAGGCATGAGTTATCTCATTATAGCCTTGTTATTTTATTGTGTGAAAAATAGGCTGAGGTCATAAAAACACTTTATCACTCCTCATATGTTAAACTATCATTTTGGCAAGTCAGTTAGGACATTTACTTTATGCATGACACAAGTACTTTTTCCAGCGGTTCTTTACAGATAGATTATTTTACATGTAATTCACTATATCACCATTCCAGTGGGGCAGATGTTTTTATACACACAGTTGACTGTGCCTTTAAACAGCTTGGAAAATTCCAGAAGCTTCTGATAGCCTAGTTGACATCATTTGAGTCAATAGGAGGTGCACCTGTGGATGCATTTTAAGGTCTGCCTTCAAACTCAGTACCTCTTTGTTTGACATCATGGGAGAATCAAAAGAAATCGGCCAAGACCTCTGAAGAAAAATTGTGTGTCTGGTTCATTCTTGCAAGCAATTTCCAAACACCTGAAGGGACCACGTTCATCTGTTAAAAACAGTATTATATAAGTATAAAAACCATGGGACAACACTATGGCAAAATGGCTTAAGGACAACAAAGTCGCAGTATCAGAGTGACTGTCACAAAGGCCTGATCTCAGTCAAATTGAACATTTGTGAGCAGAAGTGACAAAGAGTGTGTGAGCAAAGAGGCCTCCAAACCTGACTCAGTTCCACCACTTCTGTCAGTTGGAATGGGCAAAAATTACAGCAACATATTGTAAGAAGCTTGTGGAAGGCATCCCCAAACGTTTTACCCAAGTTAAACAATCTAAAGGCAAAGCTACCAAATACTGAGTGTATGTAAACCTGTGACCCACTGGGAATGTGATGAAAGAAATAAAAGCTGAAATAAATCTTTTTTCTATTATTATTCTGACATTTCACATTCTTAAAATAAAGTAGTGATCTGGCCTAAGACATTGAATGTTTATGAGATTAAATGTCAGGAGTTGTGAAAAGCTGAGTTTAAATGTATTTGGTTGGTGGATGGAAACCTCTGACTTCACCTGTAGGTTCATTGTGCAGCTAGATGTTGGCACCTGGGTTGTCTTGACAGCAGAGCTGAATTCACATTGTTTTTGGTCTTAAAACCTTGTTTAGCTGTTTCTGGAGAACTCCTTGTAGAAAGTGCCAGCTGGGGCTGATCTGCCAAACCTTGCTGCAGATGGGGTGGATGTTGTGTGAGCTGTAGACAGAACTAATTAACCACCACTGTGAAAATAGCAGAAGGCACACTTTTCAGTGCCCTTTTCCTGTGCTACTTCCCCCATAACTTCTGTTTATTATGAAAATTTCATAATGGCTTTTGCACCCATTGTGGCTGAATATCCTCAGGCCATGATCCACTGCCCTGTACTGCTGCTAGGCCAGCAGTTTCTGAGCTGTCAGTGTGGACCAGGGTAAACTCTGTGATTGTTCTTTTGTTAAATAATTTCTTCCTATCAGCTCTTTGAATACCCTTTAGCTTTTTGAATAGTAGAAGTGTGAGGTGCAGCACAACTCCTACCCTTCAGTGCTGCCATAAGGACTCTACTGGTCCATATTCAGACCTTGTAGTGAGTATGTCTGTGCATAGTCTCTGAAAGCTGTAGCTCTTTCTGAACATCCTGCATGTTTTGAAACTTCCTCATATTGTACCATCTTTTGGCAAGTTTCACATCTTTGCTCTTAAAGCATGATGGTTTTCATTTAATGCACAGTGTTATTATAATACTCTAAAACGTACAACTTATTAATTATTCATGGAAATTATCTGCAAATGATTTGATAATGAAAATAATTGTTACCTTCAGCCCTAGTAGACATATTGACCATGATTTCAGAGGTTTTGGAGCTAAGCTTACTTCAATGCCTCGTTTTGTGAACTTTCCATTAACACTTTTTAAAATTATTTGGGGTCAAAATGTAGAATGAAAAGGAAAACTCTTGCATGTGCCTCACCAGAGTCTCCTAAGCAGTAGGGCATTTGGCAGTTTTCTTTTTGGACACTGAAATAAAAACACATTTATACCATATATAAAAATCCTGTTTTAACTGTCAGTAGTTTATCTGACTGTACCTTCATTATTTTTGCATCCAGAGATCAGATTTGTCAGTCCTGAAGTATGGTACCCTTTGATTCTATTTTTTAAAATCCAGTCACTTGGCATCATGTAAAAATACTGAAACAGAGCTCCTTATTTCATTTAACGTTTCTGAAAGTTGAAATAATTACCTCCCAAAGCAAAACTGAGAATAAACTCTTATAAACTGACAGATATGAAAGGTAATTTAGCATTTGTCTTCTCAGTTCTAAATCAACAAGTAGGTGTGACCATGATGATTTGCACTTCAGCTGTTCACAACAACAAACACTCTCCCTGCTGAAGCGTCCTTGGACACGTGTTTGCTGTGTCCAACTCCTCTGTAGCTGGGCCTGGCCTCTGAACATCCATTAGTGGTGAAGGCAGTGAGTTATTTTAGAGAAAGAATTAGACAACAGTTTGATATAAAATCTACCACAACTGACTGAGTAAGATGTTCTGGGTGTGTGTTAGTGCTGACTGTGCCTCATACTGTTTTTAATACTGAAGCTTTGCCAGATTGAAAGTTATTTTTTAAGTTTGCTGGTCTTTGATTCAGGAATCTTTTGTGTTTTTCACTGCCTAAAAAGACGAGTTCTGTTATCTTTTTTTTCTGTCGATTATTATTGTCATTTTCATGGATTTAAAATCTTTGTGCCCTTGTACCATCATCAAGCAGTTTTCCTCTCCTTTTCATTTTTAAGAAAGACATTTTCATTAATTATGATGTGGTAGATTTTTTTTTCCATATTCTCCACAGTCTGCACTTTCCTTTACATTTTATTTTTCATTTCAGATCTATCATTCCCCAATTCACAAGCAAGCTGAAAGTAAGTCAGTCTGAAGTTCCTGTGTTGACATCAACAGACATGATGATGCCTTACTTTACATCTTCTGTCAGTGACTGCTTCTGTATTCATGTTTGAACAACATATTGTTTTACTTCCACAGTGGAACTGAATGAAACTGGATTCAAGTTTGTGCAGAAGTGCATCAGCTATGTTGAAACAAAAGGTAAAGGGTTATCCCAGCTGTCTGTAGTACTGTTAGTTTGCCTACTTGCCCTTCAGGGGGCGTACTTGAGTCACAGGTGCATTTTTTGATGCCACTCTGGCAATCTGCTCTCAGAGGTAAAAATGTCTTGCATTACAGTTTTAGTAATCTTTTTCAGATTGCGCAGAATATTATTCATCACGTGGTCATCCCTTGCTTAATCTTTGAAGCCCCTTAATGTTTATCTGTTTTTTTAAGAACTTTCGATTATTATTTCTTTTTTTTCCTGCAAGGTCTCTGTGCATGCTCGAAATTCAATATCTCAGCCCTAGAGGCAGATGTAACCTTTATAAATCTGCTACAACAATACGTCTCTCTAGTGGGTTGATTAATCCTTCAAGAATGGAATTAACTACTCGGGCAGTAAGGATGTAATTTGACTCATAATCTAAGCAAGGAGCATTGTTCACTCTCAAATGAACCAGTTAAATAAAGTGTTCATAATCAGGAAGGAACATCTGTATCTTAATTCTGACTCATACAGGCTCTGAAGAGAAGCATGTGGTACATGTCCACTCCTCTGTATTTGTCCAGAATTAATCTCCCCCTTTTTTTTTTCTTTTTTCCTCACTCTTCTCTTCTCTCTAGGAGTGACACAAGAAGGAGTGTACAGAACAGTTGGCAGCAACATCCAAGTGCAGAAGCTTTTAAATGCCTTCTTTGGTAAGGAAGTAAGACTTTGAACATCTGCCACATCTGTTTATTCACTTAGTTTTCTTAAGCTGGACTCCTCTTCCTCACTCTACAGCAGAACAGCTTCTGCAGCTTTTGAGAAGTTTGGGTGTAAAACTGGGAAATATCACTTAAGTCAGATTTTATTTATATAGCCCAGTTTCATACATTTGTCTCATGGGGCTTTACAATCTGCACAACGCATGACACCCTCTGTCCTTAAAACCTGGAATTAGATAAGGCACAAGGCCTCCCAAAAACCCTTGAACAGGAAAAAGGATTAGGCAACTTCCAGGTACTGCCAAACAGACCTAAACAGCATGAACTCCTCTCCACCACAAAAAACCTGGAAACAGCACAGACTACAGAAACACACAAGAGGCAAAACCCAAGCACACAATTCACACATAAGAGAGAAGGAACAAGAACACAGAAAGAAGGAGATAGGAAAGAAAAACAAATGCAAGGGGAAGAGAGAGAGAGACAAGGAGGATGAAGGTCTAGATCCAAAAAACCTGGAATGAGATGCTGACATGCAGAGGA